GGGTTAATCTTGTTGGTTTATTTAGTTGGCTATGGGGTCGGCTAAACGATTATAGCGGTTTTAGATTTAAGGGTCCTTGGGGTTAAAGCTACCCCCGGGAATCGTGTGTGTTAATACTCTTCTTTATTTTTATAGTTTGCTTAAAATTAGGTGCCCTCTTTATAACATAGGTTCTTTAGTATGATAGAATAAGTAGGCTTTAAATACTTTCATTTTTTCTCGATTGCTTTCGGTCTGTTTATTAAAAACATTTCTATCTTTCTTTTTAGATAGTAGTGCCTGCCCAATGCTTAGGTTAATGGCCGCAGTATTTTGACTGTGCTAAGGTAGCATAATTAGTTGCCTCATAATTAGGGGATTGTTTGAACGGTTTGACTAGAGAGTTTAATTAGATTGGAAGTTATTCTGAAATTGGTTTGTTGGTGCAGAACCCAACAGTAGCTAGTTAGACGGAAAGACCCCGAGATCTTTATGTTGCGATATTTATTTGGGGCAAGGCTATATAATTTATGTAGTTTTTGATCCTTTTGGATTATAGGTTTAAGTTNTTGCCATCTCGATGTTGACTTGGGAAATATATTAGGGTGCAGGAGTTCTAGTATTTGGTCTGTTCGACCACATCTCCCTCATGAGTTGAGTTAAGACCGGCGTGAGCCAGGTCGGTTCTTATCTACTTTTGTTGCAAATTAGTACGAAAGGATTGTTTGTATTTTAGGTTGGACGTGACGCATTAGCGTGATACTCTGCAAAGGTATTGTAGATGTTTTGCATCCTCGTCTTTAATCTATTTAATTCTGGTTGTAGGAGATAGGGAAACAAGGTCACATAAGGCAGTTTTATAGGTAATTATAAAAGGTATCTTTTTAATGGTTTAGTGTCTAGAACTTAGGTTTCAGAGGAATCTGGATTAGGTTGTTTTCCAAAGAAGTGGTGAATACACAGTGCCAGCATCCGCGGTTATTCTGTTAGCTTTAATCTTCGGCAATAGGTGTAAAATATATAGGGGGTATTAGCCAGCTAGGAGTAGAATCTTTCTGTGTTTTAAATTAGCCCCTAGTGGTATTTTCTAAAAGCATTGTGATTAAGGGGATTAGATACCCCCGTAATGTGCTTTAAGTTTTGCTCCTTAGTATAAACTAAAAGAATTTGGCAGCCGACGAAGTTCTTCCGGGGGAGTGTGTATCGTAAGAGACAGTCCGCTTATGAATTGACCCTATCTATTTTTGTTAGTGTATATCCGGTTTAAGATTTGTGGTTAATGTCTATGAGTGTAACGATTTGTTTAAGCCAGGTCTATGTGCTGCTTATGTTAGGGTGTTTATGCACTACATTAGTAAAGGTATTAGCCGGTTGTGTGCTGATAGCGTTTAGGACTCGGAAGTAGGCTTAGAAAGATAGTGTTTTCGGTCGAAGTAGATTTAGTTGGGGTACACACCGCCCGTCACCCAGGGCGTTAGCTGTGGTAAGTCGTAACATGGTAATGCTAGGGGAACCTGGTGTTAGTTGGTTCTGTAAGGCTCGGTTGCAGAATTTATGCTTTTTTCTTTGAATATACTTTATTTAGATTTGATTGAGTACATAATATTTATTTGTAGCTTTATACCAATGTGGGTTTTTACGGTGCTGGTATGACAATTATTAACTTCGGATAGTATTGCTTCTCGTAATAAAGAAAGTGATACTGCTGAATTTTTTTGGACTGTTGTTCCAACAGCAGCTGTAGGGGCTCTTTGTTATTATAATCTAAATTGTATTAGTTATGATATGTTGGACGTTGCCTGTAAGACTGTTAAGGTGATAGGTCGTCAATGGTATTGAACCTATGAGGTTGAGGAGGATCATGAAGGAGAGTTTGATTCTGTAATGAGTGATTTTGTTATTGGGGTGGATAAGCCACTCCGCTTAAGGTTTAATGAGTTTTATCGATTTTTAGTCACATCTTCTGATGTAATACACTCTTTTTCCATTCCGGAGTTTAATATTAAGTTAGATGCGATCCCGGGTCGTCTTAAATATTCTATGTACTGTCCTAATCATTATGGGATTTATGTTGGATACTGTACGGAACTATGTGGTGCGGGGCACGCATATATGCCTGTGATAATAGAGGTTGTGAAGGGAGGACTACCAAAGGGGTATTAGTTTGTTATGATTAGTATACTTTTATCTAGTTTTTATTTTAGTTGCTTATTAAGGTTTTCTTTTGTTTCTCATCCGGTTGTTTATTGTGTTTTATTACTTTGTTCTGCAGTAAGTGTTGGTGGTTTGGTTTATAGTATTGTAGGGTTTTCTTGGTATTTGGCGGTATTTTGTTTGGTGTATATAGGAGGTGTTTATGTGTTGTTTATATTTGTATCAATACATAGTCCAAATCCTGTAACGACGGTGGGGGGGAGTGGTCTTGTTCCTGTATTTTTGTTTAGGGGGTTTTTGTGTCTTGTTGCTTGTTGTTTCTTCCCTTTTCCTTCATTGGTAGATGGTAGTAATTATTTGTGTTCTTATTTTGAGGGGTTTTCTTATTGTTTGTTTTGTTTAGTGTTGATGGTAGGTTTTGTGAGGATAAGTGTTGTAGTGGGGGGCAAGGGTTCTTTTTTTCGTTAGGCCGACTTAGTATATTTGTATAGTGCATGGGATTGTAGCTCCCGGGGAAGAAATTATTCTGGTCGGAGTTTGGAGTGCCAGATAATATGGGTGTGATTTAGGATTATATTAAGGCTTTTTATAGCCCTCTAGCGTGTAGGATTTGTATCAAGTTTGATTTGAAGTCATTCTTTTCATATTAGTTTATGATGCTCGCTGAGTAGTTTTACATGAGTGCCAGATAATATGGGTTGGTTTTAAGCATCAAATATGGGTGTTTCCCCTCGTGTGTTTGATATCCTTTGGGGATTACGTTTCGGCCGTAGTTTTGGGAATTATTTTCCCTATCAGAGGTGTTGCTTTTTTGGTTGTTGTTGTTAGGGTTGTTGACTTGATGGTTTTATGATATTGTGGGTGTTTCTGGTGCGTTTGCTTGATTAGGTTATGGTGTTTTTCCTTCTTTTGAGTTTGTTTTGGATGAGGTTAGGTTAATTTGTCTCTATATGTTATTGTGCTGTGGTTTTATAGCTTTGTTTTATTGCTATCATTATTTTGGTGGTGGTTTTGAAGGTTTGTTGCTTTTTCCGTTAGTAGTGTGGTTTTTGGGAGTTATGTGTTTTTTGGTTTTAACTTCATCTATGCTTTTTTCTTTGGTGTTTTGGGAATATTTGGGGCTTGTGAGGTTTTTTTTAATTCTGTTTTACTCTAAAATGAGTAGTTTGCGGGCTTCTTTGATTACTTTATTTGCTTCTCGGTTTGGCGATGTTTCTATGTTTGTGGTTATAATGTGATTGAGGTGGTGTTGGGACTTATCATCTTCGTTGTTTGTGCTTTTATTTCTTTTAGTTGTTATGACTAAGAGGGCTTGTTATCCATTTGTATCTTGGTTGTTGGAAGCTATGCGTGCTCCTACCCCAGTAAGTTCTTTAGTACATTCTTCTACGTTGGTAGCGGCTGGGGTGNGTGGTTTATTTTGCGTTATAGTTATATAGGGGGTATAGATACATTGTATTGATTGGCGGGCTTTTGTTTAGTTACCATTATATTGACTTCTTTTGCTGCTTTAGTTTTTATGGATTTGAAGAAGATAGTGGCCTTGTCAACTTGTAAAAAAGTGTCTTGGTGTATACTGTTTTTTATATTTGGTGATCTTTCTTTGTCTTTATTACAGTTGGTTAGACATGGTGTTTGTAAGTGTTATTTGTTTATGAGGGTTGGTGACTTGATGGGTCAATCGGGTTCTAGTCAGAGATCTGTAGGGGTGTTTTTAGGTCGTTATGCTGGTAGATTTTTACCTGTTTTACACGGGTTTCTTGTGTTGTCGTTATGTGGTTTGCCGTTTATAGGTGTTTTTTTTAGGAAGCATCTTTTATTTTCTGGGCTGTTACATAGTTTGGGTTTTGGTTTTGTGTTATTGTTTTTGTTTTGTTTGGTTTTATCCTACGTCTATTCTTTTCGTTTTGTTTTATTGTTATTAGGGTCTATGGGTGGTTTGAGTAGGGGGTATTCTAGTTTTTTTTTNTTTTTTTTTATTATTTGTCCTTTGGTAGTATTGGGGACTTTTTTGAAATATATAGGGGGTATGTTTCTTATCGAAGATGTTTCTATGAATGGTTTTTTTTCTTCGCTTATTTTGTTATTACAGTTTATTGGATGTGGGCTAGGTTGTTTTTTTTATTTTTATTTGATGGGTGTTGGGCGTTGGTCTTCTATTTTAAGCGGTTGTGAGGCGTATGTTTCTAGGTTTTATTATAATTTTGTTTGTCTTTCTAGGGTTTGTGTAATTTCTTTTTATCGTTGGGAGGTTTATTTGTTAGGTTTGATGTCCAAGTTTGGGTTTCGGAGCTGATTATTACATGATTCTTTTTTTTCTTTGAAATTTTTAATAATGGGTCTTTGTTTTGTTTTTGTGTTTAGGTTCATTATTTAGTTTGGTGGTCTTATTAGTTGGGTGGTTGTGAACGTTGATAGTATAGTTTGAGTATGCCGTCTTTCCAAGTCGGGGGTCTAATATTTTAGTCATCGTAAGCTGCTTTTATCGTCTTGGTGTTTTTGTACATGCTAGTTTTTCGTACTTGAGTTAATCTTTTTTGATTAGACGATGCGGTATTGGTTTTGTTTAAGGGTCTTTC